CTTGATAATCATACCATTCAGGTACACTCGAGAAGATCTTATATGATATATCATATTTCACTGTCATATGCAAGTATTCTTCTATCTCCGTATCATACCAGTTTGGAAACAGTCTTTTAATTGCGTTTGATGAATACATGTTGGTGACAATCCACCTGCCGTATTTGAAAAAGGAATTTGGGTAGGGAAAAATTTTCAGCCGTATTATAAGCTCGATACACGATTGATTGATATACTTTCATAAAGATCATGTAGATACGGTGTCTAATATTGAAGAAGTATGTATTACTACATCTCGAATTATATAAACTTTATACAAAGATTTCAGCGCATCGTATACTCTGGTGGAAAAATATTTCTTATAACATCTTTTAAACTGCAAGGATATCTTCTACGCTTATGAAATGTTTCAAAACAATCTGGACATATCCGGATTTTATAAGATTCTTACAAAAGTTTCTTCTCTTATTTTTCGCTATGACGTGTGAGGAAAAAAGATTCGTTTCGAAAAAGCTCAGCAATATTAGTGCTACGAATTGTCAAATTCTTGCGGGGGCATTTAAGAAACCCGTTAAAATCCACAGGAAACATATGAAAATTCATTAGAATAATTGGAAATTTGTCAATAAACTCTTGCGATTATTTGAAAGATATTTTTCTCAAGATTAGCGACTGAAATATTGTAAATAGTCTTTTATTAACAGCGAACAATGTTATTTGCAATTATGCACTAGCATAATATTTCATTGTGAATTTACCTAGTTTCATTTGTCCAAGAGTATGGATAAATGATTTTGTTTACATTTTTATCCAAAGGAGAATAGTGTTCTATATGTAAACTATGAATCCCAAAGGATATGTAATCATGAAATAACAAGATCATTATTCCACTCTCGGGACAATGCACTACTTTCCATAGTATAAGTTCAGCATGTTCCTCATGACATCTCGGTTTTGCATTAGGTTTCATAAGCATTGTGCACGCTATATCTATTTCCAAATCGTGTCCATGCAGAGATATATTCGACGTAGGTTTTTTTACATTTATTGTGATATCGGTTTTGCCTAACAAGATATTTCTCTGCGGCATTATTTCAATGGTGACATCAAATCTTATTGGTTCCACTTGAGCGGTAGATATTCGCCCGAAAGGAAGTGAGCAATTTGTATAATCATTCAAAGAGACGGGAATCATTGAGACAATAATGAAAAGTAGTTTTAAAGATGTCGTCTCCATTTTGGATAGAAGCATCTACACAAGGAACATAATTGTTAACTAACAAAACTTTTTAATACATATAAAATATTCGTGACAATATTGTTTTTTTGTTTTGATTTTGTCATGTGAGAAACAAAGAGGACCTAAGAGAAATGATGGAAGAATAGAGGTATGTTTATCTGATGTTTATCACAAAGATCAGTGCTTTGTTAGAAGGAACACATCTTGATATTGTGCAAAATATCTTATTTTCATGTTTTTTCACAGACAGAACGAATAATTAATATTTTCTCAAATTTATTTTAAAGGCAGAACTGAAAAGAAAATAAAATTATCATAACTCTTATATTGAAAGTTGTTGTAAAGAAATGTAAAGAAATCGTTGTAAAAAATGTAGTTGGAAATTTAATTCTTTATCACACATAAGAAGCATGAGAAAAACTCGTTTAGTAATATGTAAGATTGCCGAATAGAAACGAAACTTTCGAATGTGTTAAAACATGTGGAAAGAATACATTAAAATAAAATATAGGACTATATGTTTGAAACAAAATGAAAAAATTTTATGTATATATATATATATATATATATATATATATATATATATTCATGCTTAATGTCAAATCTAAATTTTCATGTCTGTTTCGTATTTCGAGAATATGCGTATTTTATTCAGAAAGTCTATTGCATAATGAAATCCGAGGAGGACAGGTTTATTGCTTTGGTGTACATGATTACTCCTGTTTCCTACGAAAGAAAGTGTTATCTGAAATTGTTGTATCTTACCTTCACGCGCGCATAACAATTCACCACATACTAACGACAACAACAGTGGTTGGTGTCATTTTATATATGTAGTGAGTGTTGGCAAGATCCAATGTCGCATGTAAAAGATATACTTTATCATTACACACATACATGCCAGTGATTTATATCAAAATGTTACATGCTATATTTCTATTTAAAATGAATCCTTATGAAAAATACCGCCACCGCTATGTTACACGACGTAATCTGATACATTTAAACTTATACATATTACATATCTAGATGAGATACATGAAAAAATATACAAGGTGTTTGACAGCATTCATATCGGAACTAACATATCGCTGGAATAGATCAAGGTAAGTAATAGAATCGGTATCTTTCTCGAAATAATTATGTAAAACGTTGACTTAATAACAAAGAAAAATTTGTACCGAGTGCAGTACGGATGCTGTCAAACACTTTGTATATGACTGATACAACTGACACTGTCAACCACACAACGACTGTAATGGACAAATTTGAATTTTTGTTCTCTAATTATAAGCTGCTACTGATTTTAGTTGTGCGGCGCTTACGCGTGATTGTGGAAGGCTTCTTCATTGAAATGTAAACTGCATGTACCGAAGAAGTGTAAAGTCGCGAAATCAGAGAACGTCTGCATGATGGCATAACATATGCATTAGAACGAATGTTACAATTATATAGACGATAATGCAAAGCTTAAAATTTGCAAAGCTTAAAATAATTAATTAATTTACAGCATTTTTCCAGTTTCACTTTTCTTGTGATATAGAAGAGGATAAAGTAATCCATTGATTCTAATATCTCCCTTGGCTTTATAAAAAATAGGTTTCAACTATAAATAAATGTCGCTATTTAATGCAGTTTGTAGATTTTGGGTTACAAACAAATACACTTTATTTTATGTTATAAATATTCTTAATATAATATATATAATATATAATACAATATAAAAAGTGCCGCACATAGATTATAATTCGTACAAATAGTGGTAAAAGTTATGCATCAGTTAGGTTATTATCACTAGAAATCATCATAGAACGCTTTAAACTTCCTCCGTTGTCTTAATAATAGTTCTCGTTTTGCTTTGATCAGTTTTCTAACTTTGCTGCATTGTTCATTACCAAATAACTCCTTGGTTACGTGTATATTTATCTAAGACATATTATGTGGATATTATTCAGTAATAAGGTAACAAGTCAATAAGCCCAATATAATAACGATAATTAATAAAAAAATATATTTCCATTAACCATGAGTTCATTATTTCTTTCATTGTATACTTTTGAATGTAACGTTTAGGATATACTTCCTCAATGATTGTCCAGAAACTCGTGTTGCTGGCCAAACAATAATAATGAAAATATAAATTTTTGAATTTAACATCTGTCTCTCTTTAAAGATAATTTGATAGAAGGGACGTAGTAATACTTAATTCATTCAACCGTATATGTATATACAATATAACAATGTATATAATATAACGTAATGAAAAATAATTGTGCAAATGGATCAGCTAATTATTCACTAAAAATTAAGATATTTGTTTTCTTTCCTTAACATGCCGCGAATTATTAATGAGAAGGTAAATTTGCGTAAGATTCTGCGCTAACAACACAAAAGCTGAATACATAATTTTGAGTAAAATAAAATTTTTCATTAAAAAATAGTAAACAATACATGTATAATATAGATATAGAAAGTATAAGAGAATAAAATTGTAATAATGCCATAAATAAACTCACCGAGATTGTAAAATTATAATAATACCATAAACTCACCGAGATTGTACATATTTCTCAATAATCTCATCAAACTTTAGTGGAGTGAGCAAATTGAGTAACATACGAATTAGGGCGAATGCTACACTGATTCAAACCGTAATGCATATAAAATTTAGATAATTTGGAATAATTGATTAACCGCAGTTATTAACTCTCCCTCTTATCTTTCTTGTGATACAGTAAAGGGTAAAGTAATTCATCAATTCCATAATGGTTCTTAGATTTATGTATAGTAGGTTCGAATTCTAAATAAATGTCACTATCTAAAGCAGTCTGTAGATTCTGGACTAAGAACAGTTTCATCATTTCTTTTCCCAACCATATCTAAAAGCAACAGATTTTATTATATCGTGAAAGATGTTCGAAATAACAAAATAAATAAGCATCCGTGACTATGTATGGTGCACTTACGAGCGCTTAACTATTATTACAGGGTTAACATTGAGTTTTAACAGTTAAAGCAAATTCTCTTACATTTTAATAGTTTTCATTTGATAAAATTACCTTGTTTGCAATATAAAAACTGTAGAAGTACGCAAGTATTTCATCGAACCACTTATCGTCCATGTTCAAATGTGAGTTCATTATACCGACAAACAATTGACGTGATATTTCATATGATACTAACTTCGCAATATCAATCATTTTTCCAGGAGAATTTACTCCTTCCTTGTACGTAACATCTTTTTCCCTGTAAATTGGAAAAAGCTACTTTTATAAAATGTCTTCGTTAAAAAAATTAATTATTATATAACATTCAACGTATCTCTATATTTACTGCGCAACATTTATAAGTTTTAATCTTCTAATTGGCTATATTATTCTACGAATAACTATCAAAAAAAAACGCGCAATATCTTTCTTTTTCTGCAGTGTAAATTGTGAGATAATTTTTTTAATGATAGCATGATATGCTCTCATCATAGTTTCTACAACTACGTTTTAAGGGTATGCAAAAGCATATGATAATGTCGAGAAATATTGATCACATAGAGAGAAGGGCGATTCGATCGTTATACCAAATATGCACTAACACGATCACGCTATCACTATTTTTCTCGTTTATCTTCCACAGGTTATCTTATGCAGGTCTTACATAAAAATATGTGTTACGGTTTGTCTTGCATACCTGTAAGCAATCAGTCCAAGTCACCCCGCGGACTTCATCGGGCCAGTTGGGAGTACGATATGGTCAATTTTATTTATGATTTCAAACAAACCGATGTTTATGATCTATTTAAATTGTAATGTGGTATGAAATGCTACTGTGTGCGCGTATTCGAGTGCTACCGTCGCATTCGATTCTTGCCACAGATAATTCATGTCGTATTGTTTGATATTCGTTTTGAAATAACAGTATGAATAAGCTCTATCATGATTACTCATGATGTGATCCAAACATTAGATTATTGTGTTATGGTATTCATTACGTTTTTTCATTACATAAGCAATTAGTTTCGCTGATGCTAATGTATTAGCAGATAAAAAATACTACCTCGTCTACAGCAGAGAAACCATAGTATGATGCGAGCATCTCCTTTATCCATAAGTCATGGTTTATATTCTTGATATAAACAATGAAGAAACAATTGACGTGCTACCTCGTATGATACCAACTTTGCAACATTAATTTTTCGACCATCATAATCTAAATGTGTAATACGAAATTCTAAATTTTTATCGAAATTAATATCTTCTTCCCTGTAAATTAGAAAAGAAGTTACTTTTATTATTATTTGTTACCTAATATGTGGTACAAATGTAATACTTTTGACGGGTATTAGAGTAATTTCTCGCGAGAAATGATGATAAATATATTTAACTTAAAATGTTAGTATAATTGTGTAATAACATTTAGAGGAATATAATCTCCTGGAAATTAAGAATGCATAATTAATACTTAATATTTTTTAATCTTTTAATTTTATTTAATCTTAGTCTTACTTAATCTTTTTTTTCGCGAAATTGTACATGTACGAAAAATATCTTTCAAATTGCAAATTGTTAAACCAGATTTAATAATCTATAACGCGCAAGAATGAAGAGAAACGCGAAAGTCGTTGTATAAGAGTTATAAGATGAAAAATAAAAAATAATATTTTAGCGGAAAATCCGTATGTATCTTTTTTTAAGTACTCATGCTTTTTTGTATATTTTTTTATTTCTTCTGTCGACTCTTATACGGTACAAGTTACGAAAAAATATACATTACTTTATGCTATAAATATCCTTCATATAATATATATAATATATAATATAATATAAAAAGCCCACACATTATAATTCGTATAAATAATGGTAAAAACTATAATTTGTATAAATGATGGTAAAAACTATGTGTCAACTAGGTTACATCACTATAAAACATTAATCCTGAAATACTGTAAACTTCCTTCGCTGTTTTAATAGCTGATCTCGTCGTATTTCTATCAGTTCTTCAACCTTGCTCCATAGTTCATAACCAACAAACTCCTTGGTTATGCGCATACTTATCTAAAACACATTACGTGGATATTAATTAGTAATAAGGTAACTAGTCACTAAGGCCAATATAATGATAATTCGCAGCATATTTTCTCATGTTTTAATAATTAATGCAGGTTAATATACACGTGCTTTATTTAAATAAATAAATATAAAATAAAAAATAAATACTGAATTAAATAAATTAATAACAAATGCATAATTGTAAAATTTACCTTACTGAGTAGCATTTCGCTATGCACATTCATAACGATATCACCGAATAGAGTTAGATTACCATGAAAATCGTGGGGGAATCTATAAAATTATAATATATTACATTTAATCAAAGTAGATAAAATTACATCTAATAATAATAAAGAGTATATTTCTCATGAAGAAGAATACCTATCTATTATTTGGAAATAATTGTTCAAGAAAAAATTCAGCACTTTTTGCTTTGCAACATGTTTCTTAATAATAAAACGATGTAATTTTCCCATTGATAATTTTGTTGTATTGATCTCATAGGGTCTCACAATCGACATCCATTCCAAATAATGTAATAAGATATTTTCATCTTCTATACACATTAAGCGTTCTAAAATCTCCATATTTTCTCCTTCAACGCCTTGTTGCCAAAGCAGTTTCGAAACAGTCCTATTTACGTTCATCATTCCGGTACAGTACATCCAGTTTGTCCACCGCGTAATTCTACGACATAAGCAATTTAAAGAAATAAGCACTTGTAACAAAAATTTAACCCTTTATTTAATTCTTCGATCATGCAATTCATCAATCATGATGCAAGATATAACATGTTAAAAATTATTATAAACAATAAATAATATTATAAACAAACAGCAATTTTAAAGAATATTTACATGTTCTGTTCACTATTGTGTATATACGCGATCAATTTTTTGGCAGTGACCTTTCTGCATTCTTCATGGCCGAACTCGCAAGCCCACTTTATTGCTAGTAATCTTAACGGCATCGTCATTTCATTATCGGACTTTTGTTCTTCGTATCCCACTTTACGAAGAAGTGAATTCAATATAAGCAGAAATTTAGCCTGGAATCCGTTACATAACATGAATTTTAAATAACATTGAACTCTCTTTTATATCTTGGAGTGAAATTTGATTCGAAAACCAAGTAACAGCTGAGTCGAATTCGAGTTATTTTTCATTCCTATAGAGTGAATTCTCTATTCGGAATTATTGTGAATATTTTCACTCGAAATTGAAGAATGAATCCGAAACATTCCACCGTCAGCGAAACATGTTAACTCCAATCGAATAACATATCATAAGAAATCAGAATCTTGTCTAAGCTTGATTGAGATGTTCACTCTTGTGATATCGAGCGGCATTATTTTCACTGTTATCTCGATATTACCTACTATTACTTTTTATCCCAAGATATTTAGAAAAAAGATATCATAGCAGATAAGTATAAAACATCCATATCTATATTTGCAAGTCAATTTGCTATATTCTTATTTAATTTCTCGACGATTTGCGACAACTCATAAAATATAAAATAGCAACTGAAAAGTTCTGTCCGTTAAATGTTTTTTCTCACCTTCGTCGATTCGCCTACTGAAAACTTTAAGAAAGTCGACATATACGAGAGAATGTTAAACATTGGATACCATACTATATAATTAGTCTCGTTATTTAGAAACTTTATAACATTGAAGAAGAGTGGAGGTTCTATTTTCCCAGCTGTTGTAAAGTAAAATGCATCGTTGACAATCTGTGCTCGACTAAGAACAGGTATAGGTGCAAGGATAGCAGACTGTAAGTGATCCGCAAGTAGTAACCAATTCTGGCTATCGTAATTAACTCGATAGTAACCTGTCGTAAAATAAAATAAGCATGTAAGATATTTTCGAATTTGTACATGAAGAAGTGATTTAAACGAGATATCATTGGATTTTTTATCAAATTACAAAATTTACAGTGTATAAATTCTTAATAGGAAGTATTAAACTGTTTATGAAATATTTGCTGCAGTGAAAATTTCTACAATATATATATATATATATATATATATATATATATATATTATTATATTACATAGTTATTATTACATTGATTTCATCTCAACATCAACATTGAAAATGAACTACTTCTTGAGATATTTCATATTCTATCCTGATATTTTTTGTCATATCACATAATTTGTGTCATGTAGATCACATAATTTTTCTCGTAAGTCATATATTTGTACATAAAGCAGATATAGTCAATTACTCAGAATTTCTCATATACTCTTCCGCAAATTTCACTATTTGTAGAGTTAGCAACAAGCTCTAATTATTTTAAAGCAAATTTATCCAAGCACACGAAATTACTCAGATTAATAACCTGTCACAGAATGAATCACGAGATATTATAAGCTTATTAGTTTGTGCTTACCGAATTGTTCCATGTCAACGAAAAGAGAATGACTTGAATTTAAAGTACTAATGGATCTTAGCTCATTTCCTTCACAAAATACAATATTATCGAAATGCGAATTTGAATAGAACGTAAAGGGTATTTTAAAATTGAAGCCACTAGTAGGCACTGTTGCATTATTTATTGCTGTTTTCGTTATAGACACTGTTTTCTCACTATAGTTACGAGTAAAGTACATTTCTGGGTGGTGTATATTCACTAACCATGAATGCATTATTTCAGTTACTTTACACTGTTTGTACTCTTTAGTATGTACTTGCTCGACGATTATCCAGAAATTCGTGTTGCTGGCGAAACAATAATAATAAAAATATAAATTTTTAATTTCAACAGAAGTCTCTCTCTTTTCAAAGATAACTTGGTAGAAGAAAGTGCATAATTCATTCAATCCTAAATGTGTACATAATATAATTATGTATGTAAAATAACGTAATGAAAAATGGTTATGCAACTAATTAGCTAATTATACGATAAAACATTGTATGTGTGTACTTTTTGCTTAACATGCCTCGAATTATTAACAAGAAGCTATCTTTGCGTAAGCTTCTGCGCTAATGATACAAAAGCTGAATGTACAATTTCAAGTAATATAAAATTTTCAATTAAAATACAATAAAAAATACATATATAATATAGATATAAAAAAGTATATGAGAATAAAATTATATAATTATATTATTACATCAATAAACTCACCGTGATTGTACATATCTTTTAATAATCTCATCAAACTTTTGTGGAGTGACCAAATAGAGTAACAAACGAATTATGGCGAATGCTACAATGATTTAAATCGTAATGAATACGAAATTTAGATAATTTACAACAATTGATTAACCGTATTTATCAAGTCTCCCTCTCACCTTTCTTGTGATACAGTAAAGGGTATAGTAATCCATCAATTCCATCATCCCTCTTAGATTTATGTATAATAGGTTTAGTCTCTAAATAAATGTCAATATCTAATGCAGAAAGTAAATTTTGGACTACGAACAGCTCCATCATTTCTTCTCCCAACCATATCTAAAATCAATAGATTTTATTATATCGTCAGAATTGTTCTAAATAACAAACTAAATAAGCACTGCGTGGCTATTTATGATGTGTTTAGAAACGCTTAACTATACAGAGTTAATTACAGAGTTAACATAGCGTTTTAACAGCTGAAGCAAATTCTTTTGCATTTTAATAATTCTCATTTGAAAAAATTACCTTATCTACAATGTAAAAACTGTAGAAGGACGCAAGTATCTCATCGAGCCATTTATCCTCAATGTGAACATGCGAGTTCATTACACCGATGAACAATTGACGTGACATTTCGTATGATACCAACTTCGCAATATCAATCATTTTTCCAGGGGAATCTACTCCTTCCTTGTACATAATATCTTTTTCCCTGTATGTTGAAAAAAGCTACTTTTGTAAAAAGTCTTCGTTAAAGAAATTAATTGTTATGTAACATTCAACGTATCCCTACATATGCTGCGCATACTTTGGAAGCCTTAATCTTCTATTTGTTTGTACTATTCCGGCAATTATCAAAATTATCAAGTTATCAAAGGAATATGCAAAATCATTTCCTGCAGCATAAAGTTCGAGATTATTTTTTTAGTAATAGCATTATATGCTTTCATTATAATATCCACGACTGCGTTTTAAGGATATGTAATACTAAATAATAAAAAAATGTCGATCACACATAGAGAGAAAGATTCGAACGTTATGTCATATAAGCACTAACACGATCACGCTACACTTCTCGTATTTCTTATACATACACGTCTTATAGAAAAATATGTGTTACGGTTTGTCTTGTATACCTGTAAGCAATTAGTCCAAGACGTCCCGCAGACTTCATCGGGCCATATGGAAGTATGACATGGTCAATTCTATTTATGATTTTAGACAAAATGATGTTTACAACCCAATTAAAATGCAATATGGTATGATATGCTACTATATGCATGTGTGTGGCTGATGGCGTCGCTCTCCCTTCTTGCCACAAATAGTTCATATCGTATTGTTTGGTGTTTGTTATCAAACCATGGACGAACATAAATGTAATGGAATAAGTAGAAATTTCGTCAAAGTGCGTATAAAACGTCCTTCGTACATTTCTATCTTGATAATCATACCATTCAGGTACACTCGAGAAGATCTTATATGATATATCATATTTCACTGTCATATGCAAATATTCTTCTATGTCCATATCATACCAGTTTGGAAAAAGTCTTTGTATGGCGTTTGATGAATACATGTTGGTGACAATCCACCTGTCGCATTTGAAAAAGGAATCTTGGGTAGGGAAAAATTTTCAGCCGTGTTATAAGCTCAATACACGATTGATTGATATACTTTCATAAAGATCACGTAGATACGGCGTCTAATATTGAAGAAGTATGTATTACTACATCTCGAATTATATAAACTTTATACAAAGATTTCAGCGCATCGTATATTTTGGTGGAAAAATATTTCTTATAACTTCTTTTAAACTGCAAGGATATCTTCTACGCTTATGAAATGTTTCAAAACAATCTGGACATATCCGGATTTTATAAGATTCTTACAAAAGTTTCTTCTCTTATTTTTCGCTATGACGTGTGAGGAAAAAAGATTCGTTTCGAAAAAGCTCAGCAATATTAGTGCTACGAATTGTCAAATTCTTGCGGGGGCATTTAAGAAACCCGTTAAAATCCACAGGAAACATATGAAAATTCATTAGAATAATTGGAAATTTGTCAATAAACTCTTGCGATTATTTGAAAGATATTTTTCTCAAGATTAGCGACTGAAATATTGTAAATAGTCTTTTATTAACAGCGAACAATGTTATTTGCAATTATGCATTAGCATAATATTTCATTGTGAATTTACCTAGTTTCATTTGTCCAAGGGTATGGATAAATGATTTTGTTTACATTTTTATCCAAAGGAGAATAGTGTTCTATATGTAAGCTATGAATCCCAAGGGATATGTAATCATGAAACAACAAGTTCATTATTCCACTCTCGGGACAATGCACTACTTCCCATAGTTTAAGTCCAGCATGTTCCTCATGACATCTCGGTTTTGCATTAGGTTTCATAAGCATTGTGCACGCTATATCTATTTCCAAACCGTGTCCATGCAGAGATATATTCGACGTAGGTTTTTTTACATTTATTGTGATATCGGTTTTGCCTAACAAGATATTTCTCTGCGGCATTATTTCAATGGTGACATCAAATCTTATTGGTTCTACTTGAGCGGTAGATATTCGCCCGAAAGGAAGCGAGCAATTTGTATAATCATTCAAAGAGACGGGAATCATTGAGACAATAATGAAAAGTAGTTTTAAAGATGTCGTCTCCATTTTTGATAGAAGCATCTACACAAGGAACATAATTGTTAACTGACAAAACTTTTTAATACATATAAAATATTCGTGACAATATTGTTTTTTTGTTTTGATTTTGTCATGTGAGAAACAAAGAGGACCTAAGAGAATTGATGAAAAATAGAGGTATGTTTATCTGATGTTTATCACAAAGATCAGTGCTTTGTTAGAAGGAACACATCTTGATATTGTGCAAAATATCTTATTTTCATGTTTTTTCACAGACAGAACGAATAATTAATATTTTCTCAAATTTATTTTAAAGGCTGAAAAGAAAATAAAAGAAGAACTGAAAAGAAAATAAAATTATCATAACTCTAATATTGAAACTTGTTGTAAAGAAATGTAAAGAAATCGTTGTAAAAAATGTAGTTGGAAATTTAATTCTTTATCACACATAGGAAGCATGAGAAAAACTTGTTTAGTAATATGTAAGATTGCCGAATAGAAACGAAACTTTCGAATGTGTTAAAACATGTGGAAAGAATATATTAAAATAAAATATAGGACTATATATTTGAAACAAAATGAAGAAATTTTATGTATATATATATATATATATATATATATATATATACAGGTTGTCCGAAACCTTCTTTGAATTACAAATCGTAGGAAAGTAGAACAGATTAAACAGAACAGAAAAGTCAAATATCATTTTGCGAAATTCGCAATAGTTTTCAAGTAATTAATTATTT